AGGATGCTGGAAATCCTGGTTCACAGGAGCAGGAATGCTTAGGGAACAAAGTCCGCTGTATGTATTTGCTGCATCACAAATCCTCCCGCAGACATGCAATAAGCAGGAAAAGGAATTCTGGGGTCAGAAGCAAGGATTCCAGGAGGATTCCGATTAAAGGGGAAGGGCTGATCATGGGTCTCCAGGAGGCTGAGGAGGCTAAGTCCTGCCTGCCCGCCGGCCAACCCTCGTCCTCTGGCCATTTCTTTGCCGCATGGTACATTTGATCTCATATAATTTCCCTACTTAGTGCTGGCTGAATTCTAGTTTGACCTTGAAATCCACAAGTTCCTAATTGCTGGTCCAAAGAAACCCCAGCAAGACAAGCAGAAAAGATTCCTTTTCCTCCAAAGCTGTAGAAAGGCAGCTACTGTCCTGGGTCAGGAAACGGTTCTTGCAAATGGTATTTTTTAAAAATTGTGGTAAAAGACATATAACTTATGCTAATTTCACTATTTTTAAAAGTAGAATTAAGTGGCATTAATTCCATTTACTGTTGTGCAATCATCACCACTATCTATTTCCAAAACTTCTTCATCACCTCAAACGGCAACTCTGCCTCCATTAAACAGAAACTCGCCATTTCCCCCTCCCCCCAGCCCCTGGTAACCTGTGTTCTCTGTCTCTGCATTTGTGTATTCGAGATGTTTCTTACAAGTGGAATCACGTTCTCAAGGTCTGTCCACATCGTAGTTGCATCAGTACTCCATCTGTCTTATGGCTGAATGATACTCCATCGTCCGCTGTCAGCATTCAGTGGTGCAGTGTCCTCTTACAATCCTTTTCATTTGTCTGGATGATAGTAACGTTCCCACTTTCATTTCAAATTTTAGTAAACTGAGTCTTCTCTTTTTGTCAATCCAGATAAAGGTTTGTCAATTTTGTTGCTCTTGTCAAAGAACTGACTTTTGAGGGCCGGCGCATGGCTCACTCGGTAGAGTGCGGTGCTGATAACACCAAGGCTACAGGTTCAGATCCCTGTAGAGGGATGGCCGGTTAGCTCACTGGCTGAGCGTGGTGCTGACAACACCAAGTCAAGGGTTAAGATCCCCTTACCGGTCATCTTTGAAAAAAAAAAAAAAACACCTAATTTTGGTTTTGCTAATTTTCTCTATTGTTTTTCTATTCTCTAGTTCATTTATCTCTGCTATAATCTTTATTATTTCCTGCCTTCTGCTAGCTTTGGCTTTAGTTTGCTCTTTTTCTAATTCCTTAAGGTATACAGTTAGGTTGTTGATCTCAGATCTTTCTGCTTTTGTAACGTTAGTGTTTACAGCCATGAATTTCCCTCTGAGCACTGCTTTCGATTTCAGTGCACACCGTAAGTTCTGGTGTGTTGTGTCTTTGTTTTCAAGGTCTTCTCATTTCTCTTGTGACCTTTTTTGATCCAATGGTTAAGAGTGTGTTAATTTCCATGTATTTATGAGTATTCCAGTTTCCTTTCTGCTGTTGATTTCTGGTTTCATACTACTGTAGTTGGAAAAATACTTTGTATGATTTCAATCTTTCAAAATTTATTAAGACATTTTGTGGCCTAACATTTGGTCTGTGCTGGAGAATGTTCCATGTGCACTTGAGAAGAGTGTGCATTCTAAGGCCAGCTCAAGGCTCACTTGGGAGAGTGCGGTGCTGATAACACCAAGGCCATGGGTTCGGATCCTTATATGGGGATGGCCGGTTAGCTCACTTGGGAGAGTGTGGTGCTGACAACACCAAGTCAAGGGTTAAGATCCCCTTACCAGTCATCTTTTTTTAAAAAAAGAAGAGTGTGCATTCTGCTGTTGTTGGTTTGAGTGTTCTGTATATGTCTGCTGGGTCTCATCAGTTTACAGTGTTGTTCAAGTCCTCTCTTCCCTTATAGATCTCTGTCTGGTTAATCTGTCCATTATTGGAAGTGAGGTATTGAAGTCTACAATGGTGTATTTTTCCCTTTAATTTTGTTGATTTTTGCTTCCTATATTTTGCGGATGTTATTAGGTGTGTATGTTTACAATTGCTGTATCTTCTTGATAAATTGAATCTTTTATTAATATATACTGACATTCCTTGTCATTTGTTACCTTTTTGACTTCAGATCTAATTTACATGAAAATAATAGTCATTATTAAAATATACTATTTTCATGGAATATCTTTTTCCAACCTTTTGTATCTTTGTATTCAAAATGAGTCTTCTTGAATACAGAGTACAGATAGGTTATGTTTCTAAAATTCATTCTGCCAATCTCTGTCTTTAATCTGGAGAGTTTAACCCATTAGCATTTACAGTAATTACTGAGAAGGCAGGCCTTACTTCTGCCATTTAGCTATTTGTTTTGTTTGTCTTTTATCTTTTTGTCCTCAATTCTCCCATTATTGCCTTTTATGAATGTAGCTGATTTTTTTTGGAGTGCTTCATTTTGATTCCCTTCTTCTTTCCTTTTGGGTATACGTTTTAGTTATTTTCTTAGTGAT